CTGGAGGTGGACTTCTGGCCTAGTGGTTAAAAATACGAGCACCCCATATCACAGTGCCTGGATTCTTGTCCTGGCTCTGCTCCCAATTCCTGCTCCCTGCTAATATGCACCTAGGAGGCAGCAGATAATGACACAAGTAGCTGGGTCTCTTCCACACATATGGAAGACCTGGATTGAGCTCCTAGCTCCTGGCTTCTATGGCCCAGAGCCATTGCAGGCTTTTGAGGAATGACCCAACAGACATATCACCCTATGTCTATCTAATGGTCTTTCTCTGTCTCTCAAATAAATAAATTTTAAAAAGGATTTACTGGAGGCCAGCAATGTGGCATAGTGGGTAAAGCCACCGTCTGCAGTGCCGGCATCCCTTATGGGTGCCCGTTCAAGTCCCGGCTGCTCCACTTCTAATCAAGCTCTCTGCTATGGCCTGGGAAAGCAGCACAGGAAGGCACAAGTCCTTGGGCCTCTGCACCCATGTGGGAGACCCAGAAGAAGCTCCTGGCTCCTAGACTCAGATCAGCACAGCTCCGGCCATTGGGGCCAACTGGGGAGTGAACCAGTGGATGGAAGACCTCTCTTTTTCTCTTTGCCTCTCCTCTCTCTCTGTAACTCTGACTTTAAAATAAATAAATCTTTAAAAAAACAGAAAAAAAAAAGATTTACTGGAAAGGGCATTACAGAAAAGGTAGAGACCTAGAGAAGTTAAGGGAGTTATAGGGGCCAGTGCCGAGGTGCAGTAGGTTAATCCTTCACCTGCGGCACCGGCATCCCATATGGGCGCCCATTTGAGTCCCAGCTACTCCACTTCTGATTCAGCTCTCTGCTGTGGCCTGGGAAAGCAGAAGATGGCCCAAGTCCTTGGGTCCCTGCACCCGTGTGGGAGATCAGGAAGAAGCTCCTGGCTCTTGGCTTTGGATCAGCACAGCTCTGGATGTGAACCAACGGAAGGAAGATCTTTCTCTCTGTCTCTCCCTCTCACACTCTGTTACTCTACCTCTCAAATAAAATAAGTAAAATCTTAAAAAAAAAAAAAAAAGAAGAAGAAGCAGCAGCAGCAGCAAAAGAGCAAAAGATAGTTCGTGTTTTTTTTTTTTTTTTTTTTAAAGAGAGAGTTGTAATGAGCACAGGTTTTAGAACACACTTGGCTTTGAATCCCTGCTCTGCACTTTACAAGCTGGGCAAGTTACTCCAGATTTCTCATCTCTAAAATGGGCAGAACAATGTCTATCTCAAAGTATTGTGAGGGTTATATGGTTTCAAACCATGGAAAGAGCTTACTAAAATACAGTAAGAAGTAGCATGGCTGTGGCACAACAGGTGAAGCCACCACTTGGGATGCCCACATCCTGTATTAGAGAGTTGGCGGCTGTGCTTCCAATTAAGCTCTCCGCTAATTCACCTGGAAGGCAGCAGATGTTGGCACAAATACTTGAGTGCCCCCCACTCACATGGAAGACCTGGTTGGAGTTCTTGGTTCCTGGCTTTGGCCTGGACTAGCCCTGGCTGTTGCAGCCATTTGGGGAGTGAACCAGCAAATAAAAGGTTTCTTTCTCTCTCCCCACTTCCCTTCACCATGCCTTTGAAATTAATTATATACATATATATATATATATACACACACACACACATATATGATGTACATAATACCCATATTCTCATATGTTGTATATATAGTAGTATATGTGCTATATACATAAATAAGCACTGTAGGACCTCGGGGCAAGCACTTGGCTCAGCAGGTAAGCTGTCACTTAGGGCACCCACATCCCACACTGGGAGGGCCTGCTTCAAGTGCCACCTCTGCTTCTGATTCAGCTGCCTGCTAGTGCACACCCTGGGAGGCAGCAGGCGACAGCTTAAGTAGTTAGACCCCTGCCACCCACATGGGAGACCCAGACCAAGTTTCTAGCTCCTGGTTTCAACCCTGACTCAGCCCTGGCTTTGAGTAAATCAGTGGATGAATGAAAGGTCTTTGTTTCTCTTCCTCTCTCTGCTTTTCAAATAAAACAAAAATAAATTATTTTGAAAACCACATAGTGAGGGCCAGTGTTCTAGTGCGGCAGGTAAAACTGCTGCCTGTGACACCACCATCCCATATGGGTGCCAGTTCGTGTCCCAGCTGCTCCACTTCCAATCCAGCTCCCTGCTAATGCACCTGGGAAAAGCAGTGAAGGACAGACCAAGTGTTTGGGCCCTTGCCACCCTCGTGGGAGACCTGGCTGAAGCTCCTGGCTGGATCTGGCCTGGCCCAACCGTGGCTACTGCAGCCATCTGGGGAGTAAACAAACAGATGGAAGATCTCCCTCTAACTCTGCTTTCCAATAAATAAAATAAATCAAATATATATAGTGGCTGGTTCTGTGACATAGCCTGTGACACTAGCATCCCATAGGGGTGCCAGTTCGAGTCCCAGTTGCTCCAGTTTCAATCCAGCTCCCTGGTAATGTGGCCATCTGTAGAGTGAACAGCATATAGAAGATCTCTCTCTCTCTCCGTCTCTCCCTCTCCCTCTGTAACTCTGCATTCCAAATAAATAAATAATCTTAAAATATATACATACAGTAAGTTTGGTGATAGATGTTATGATTATTACTCACATATTTAAAGGGTTTGTGGGGCTGGTGCTGTGGCATAGCTGGTAAAGCCACAGCCTGCAGTGCCAGCATCCCATATGGGCGACGGTTTGAGTCCCAGCTGCTGCATTTCCGATCCAGCTCTCTGCTATGGCCTTGGAAAGTAGTAGAAGATGGCCCAAGTCCTTGGGCCCCTGCACCCATGTGGGAGACCTGGAAGAAGCTCCTGGCTCCTGGCTTTGGATCTGGGCAGCTCTGGCCATTACAGCCATCTGGGGAGTGAACCAGCAGATGGAAGACCCCTCTCTCTCTCTCTGCCTCTGCCTCTCTGTGTTAACTCTTTCAAATAAATAAATAAATAAATTAATTAAAGGGCTCGTCCTACACTGCTCAAGAGGACAGTTCCTGCAACAGAGACTACAAGTTAAGGCCACCCAGACATTCAACTACCTCGTATTGGGAGTCAGTGCTGTGGCACTCTGGGTTAAGCTGCTGCCAGCATCCCATATTGGAGTACAGGTTCCAGTCCCAGCTACTCTACTTCCAGTCCAGCTCCCTGCTAATGTGCCCAGCAAAGCAGCAGAGGATGGCCCAAGTATCCCATCCATGCCACCCATGTAGGAACCCAGGATGGAGTTCCTGGCTCCTGGCTTTTGCCTGACCCAGCCCTGACTGTTGTGGCCACTGGAGAATGACCCAGCAGATGGAAGCTTGCTTTCTCTCTCTCTCCCTCTCCCTCTCTTTCAACCATATAAATAAATCTTTCTTTAAAAAAAAAAAATAGCACCTTTCCCAAGGTTTCATAGCTGGTAAATGTGCAATAGAATTCATCTATCTGAGTCCAGAGCCTGAGGTTTAACTACTCTGATACAGCCAGAGTGCAAGTGACAGTGGAAAGAGGGAACTCCAGAATGGGAGCCAGGGACACACGACAAAGGGCTTGGAAAGACTGACGCTGTGTCCTGCAGGATTTCAAGAGCAGACTGGTAGGACAAACTCACAGTTTAGAAAGACAATTCTGGGGCTGATGCTGTGCTATAGCAGGTTAAGCTGCTCTCTGCAATGCCAGCATCCCATATGGGCGCTGGTTCATATCCTGGCTCCTCTGCCTCCGATCCAGCTTCCTACTGGTGCACCCTGGCTGTTGGGGCCATTTGGGGAGTGAACCATCGGATGGAAGATCTCTCTCTCTCTCTCCTTATAGCTCTGTAACTGTGTCTTTCAAACAAATAAATCTTTTAAAAAGTGAGAGTGAGAAAAGAAAGACACCTGTGAATAGCTGTGTAAGAATTAATTAGACGGGGCCACTGCTGTGGCACAGTGGGTTAAAGCCCTGGCCTGAAGCGCCAGCATCCTATATGGGCACCAGTTCGAGACCCGGCTGCTCCATTTCCAATCCAGCTCTCTGCTATGGCCTGGGAAAGCAGTAGAAGATGGTCCAAGTCCTTGGGCTCCTGCACCTACGTGAGAGACCCGGAAGAAGCTCCTGGCTCCTGGCACCTGGCTTCAGATCGGCGCAGCTCCAGCCATTGTGGCCATTTGGGGAGGGAACCAACAGATGGAAGACCTTTCTCTCTGTCTCTCTCTCTGTAACTTTGTCTTTCAAATAAATAAATCTTAAAAAAAAAATTAGAGGGGCAAAAACAGAGGCAGAAAGACCACTTGGAAAGTTATTCTGAAGGCACAGGCAAGAAATTATGAGCTAAGGCAGTGGCTTTGAGACTGGACCAGAGGAGCTGGACTTTAGCATAGTAGACAGAACAGAATGCCAGTGGTTTATCCACCTTGGGATACCCATGTCCGTATCAGAGTGCCTGCCAGCTTCCTGCTAACAGGCACCTAGGAGAGATAGTGAATGAAGGTCCAAGCACTTGGGTTCCTGCCACCCTCACAGAGACCCGCATGGGGTTCTTGCATTCGGACTTCAGCCTGGCCCAGCCCTGACTGCTGTAGCCATTTGAAGAGTGAACCAACAAGCTGGCATCTCTCTCTTTCTGTCTCTCTCTCTTCCCCCATCCCCCACCCCGGCCTTTCAAAAAAATGAAAATATGCTGGTGCTTTGGCATAGCAGGTAAAGCTGCCGCCTCCATTGCCGACATCCCATATGGGCAGCAGTTCCAGTACCAGCTGCTCCACTTCCAATCCAGCTCTCTGCTATGGCCTGGGAAAGCAGTGGAAGATGGCCCAAGTCCTTGGGCCCCTGCACCCGCGTTGGAGACGCGGAAAAAGCTCCTGGCTCCTGGCTTCAGATCGGCGCAACTCCGGCCACTGCGGCCAACTGGGGAGTGAAGCAGCGTATGGAAGACCTCGCTCTCGCTCTCTCTCTCTCTCTCTGCCTCTCCTTCTCTCTCTGTATAACTCTGACTTTTAAATAAACACATAAATCTTTAAAAAAGAAAACAAATAAGTAAATTATAATTTTCCTACTTGATGCAACATAGTGAGAGGCGGAGGAGGGAGGAACCATAGCACTTCAGCCAGAACGCGGGGATCATCTCTTCACTTCCAGGCCTTGCCCATAAGCACCCACCTAGCTCACTGCTGAGAAGCCAGGACATGTTTGCCGCATATAACAGATGAATGAATTCCTCGGCTGTTTCAGTGATTGAAGTCCTTCCAGGAAACGCAAGAGGGGCAGATGCAGGGGATCGGGGAGGGCTGGCACATCTGAGCTCTGGACGCAAGTTTGGGCAGCGCGGCTGGGCAGGTGATAGCTGCAATTCTGGGTGAGATCGCCTAGCGAGGGAGTGTGGGGAGCAGACAGGAGGGGCTGCAAGGGGCTGAGGGGAGAGGGCGTCGAGGATGCCCAGCGAGCACAGGGCTTCCTGATGGAGAGGCAGACTTCTGAGCCAAAGTAAGGAAAAAACACAAAAAACTTTCCAACTTCCCCAGCCGACCGAAAGATGGCATCAAGTTGGGCCAGCCCGGGGTTGGGATGCGGGGGCGCTCCCCACCGAGAGGTACTCCGGCGAGGCTCACAGGGCCGGGCCTCCTATGCTACCCGGGAGCGCCAGCCAACGCCCGGCCAGCTCGCACGGTTGCCGGCGCCCTCTCCTCCGCGCGCGGCGCCCGGCCCGCGGCGCGCGGCTCACTCGCCGCCCGCCGCCCACCAGGCGGGCCGCGGCGGGACTGGGAGCAGATGCACACCCGCCCGCCCGCTCCTCTTCCACTCCTCCCTCACTTCCCGCTCGCACTCGCGGCCCCGACTCCCCGCCACCCTGGCCCTCCCTCCGGGAGGCCCTCACCTTTCCCCCACCCCGGGAGGTTCTGGACGATGGCTCCCGTCTCTGCGAAGCTTCCCCAGCACCACCCCGGCTCCCCGCTTCTAGGGACGCCGGGGTGTTGCCCTGCAGTGGCCAACAACCACTTCCGGAAAGGATACAAACCTAGCAACTGGGAATCCCGCCTCTGCTTGGAGCCAATAGGTCGCTGAGCGAGAGCTCTGGCATTGGATTGGTTCGAGTTCCTATCGACCTACGCGGGAGTTCCGCCCATTTTCCCGTGGCACAATGGGAGATGTAGTTCAAGATAGCTGATGGGGGGTCTGAAAGGGGTTCAAAGAGGGCCCTGAATTTAGATATGAGGAGGATTTCTTACAGAGGAGGGAAGAGCTTTTCATAGTATTTATAGAAAGGCAGTTTACTGATTATCATATTAGTACCGTGCTTAATATCTGGCGAATAATACAATGTCATCAATAATCAATCCTGGGGGCCGCGCTGTGGCATAGAGGGTAAAGCCACCGCCAGCAGTGCCGGCATCCCATATGGACACCGGTTCGAGTCCCAACTGCTCTACTTCCAATCCAGCCCTCTGCTGTGGCCTGGGAAAGCAGTACAGGATGGGCCAAGTCCTTGGGTCCCTGCACCCGCATGGGAGACCCAAAGGAAGTTTCTGGCTTCGGATCAGCCCAGCTCGTTGTAGCCATTTGGGGAGTGAAACAGAATGGAAGTCCCCCACACACACCTCTGTGTAACTCTGTCTTTCAAATAAATAAATCTTAAAAAAAAAAAAATCTGCTTCACACTGCAGTGCCAGTATGAGTCCCTGCTGCTATGCGTTCTGTGCCTGGGAAAGCAGCAGAGGAAGGCATGAGTGCTCAGCCACTCGGGTGGGAGACCCAGATGGGGCACCAGGCTCCTGGCCTTGACCTGGACCAGCTCCAACCACTGAGCCAGCAGGTGGAAAATCTACCCCAGTCCTGGCTTCACTCCTGATTCCAGCTTCCTACTAACACAGACCCTGGAAAGCAGCAGATGACAGCTGTCACCCACTTAGAAGACCTGAATCGAGTTCCTGGATCCTGGCTTCCACGTGGCCCAGCTCCAGTTGTTGCTTGCATTTGGGGAGTGAACCAGTGGACAGCATCTCTGTTTCTCCTCTCTCTCTCTCTCTCTCCCCTGAGTTCATTAATTTTTTCAAGAGAGGGCCAAAGACCACTTTGGCCACTATGAGAGACCAGCATGGAGAGGCTGTGTGGTGAAGGGGAGCGCAATGAGGCCAGGCCCCAAGAGCAGTGCCTGGTAGGTTCCAGAAAAGCATGTGGCTCACACAAACTCCTGAGTCTGGTCCCAGCTCTCTCAGGGCCTGATCCAAGAGCGAATGAGGAGGTTAGACTCTTGTTCCCAAACATCCAGAAAACATTCCCCATGTTCAAGTTCAGACAGAGCAGCCTGGCAGCTCTGCCTGTGCCCCCTGTGTTCTGACCCCTCCCCCTCCCTCTGCACATCCCGCAGTCACATAGAGGAGTCAAGGGACCACACTGGGAAGGGCTCCCAGGCTTCCAGGCTCATCCACCTGCACAAGACAGGGATTCACACAACCATTTGCAGTTCTCAGTCTCTTGAAATCATCTGCTTGATTTTAATACCATCAAAATTCTTAACCTTTATCCCTTTTCCTGGCTCCTGAGAAGAACTAACAAAGTAAGGGAGGCCAGTGCCACGGCTCACTAGGCTATCCTCCACCTATGGCACCAGCACCCCGGGTTCTAGTCCCGGTTGGGGTGCTGGTTCTGTCCCGGTTGCTCCTCTTCCAGTCCAGCTCTCTGCTGTGGCCCGGGAAGGCAGTGGAGGATGGCCCAAGTGCTTGGGCCCTGCACCAGCATAGGAGACCAGGAGGAGGCACCTGGCTCCTGGCTTCGGCGCAGGGCGCTGGCCATAGCAGCCATTTGTGTCGGGGGGGGGGGGTTAAACCAACAGAAGGAAGACCTTTCTCTCTGTCTCTGTCTCTCACTAACTCTGCCTGTCAAAAAAAAAATAATAATAATAAGGGAGACAACTTTTTGCATCTTATCAGTTTTCCCCATAGGTTTGTACTCAGGGTTGCAAACCAATTTATAGAATGCCCTTAGACAAACATAATTAGAAAAGTAAGTCTTTGGGAAGGAATGGATTTACTTTGAGAGGTAGAGTTACAGAGAGAGGGAGAGACAGACAGAAAGGTCTTCCATTCCCTGATTCACTCTCCAAATGGCCATAACAACTAGAGCTAGGCCAATCCAAAGCCAGGAACCAAGAGCTTCTTCTGGGTCTCCCATGTGGTCTCCCATGTGGTGCAGGGGTTCAAGCACTTGCTGCTTTCCCAGGCACATTAGCAGGGAGCTAGATCAGAAGAAGAGCAGCCGGGACACGAACACGTGACCATATGGGATGCCGGCACTGCAGGCGGATGCGTAACCACCACACCACCACGTCACAGCACAGGCTCCTACATCAATTGATATGCCAGTGAAGGGGGCTTGGTTCACTCACTCGAGGTTGTCCGAGAAACACATTTAGCAGTGACTTTTCCAGATGGTGGGAGGGAATCAGTCAAACATTTTCCCTACCCCCAGATCAGAAATATTTTCTTCTTGTGAGAACTTAATTTCTTCTCTTCATGTACTGGGATGTGTGTGTGTGCATGTGTGTGTGTCCAGAAAACTATCCTCATGATAAAAAATGAACTTGTTAGTCCTATTTTGTTAAATGTGGGAAGACGTGAAAGGTTCCTTGTATTCTCTGAGTCAATGCATGTTATATAAAATTGCACACTGACCTTCTATCTGCCTCCTCGGCTTTATTTTTTTCCCATAGCACATATCACCATCTGAAATGCTAGAGATTTCATTGCTTTTTTATCAGCAACTCTTCTTTAAGTTAAATTTTATTTATCTGAAAAGCAAAGAGACAGAGTTTGCCATCTGCTGGTTCACTCCCTGAATGCCCACAACAGTTGGGGCTGGTCCAGGGAGAAGCCAGGAGCTCGGAACTCAATCCGGGTCTCCCATGTGGGTGGCAGGGACTGAGCCCTCACCTGCTGCTGCCGGGCGCACATTACCATGGAGCTGGAATCGGGAGTGGAGGCAGGACTCAAACCCAGGCTCTCCAGTATGGAATGTGAGCACCTTAGTCACAAGGCCAAACACTCCCCCCTGGATTTTCTTTATTTCTTTATCGTCTGTCTCCCTGCCTGAGAATCTCAACTCCATGAGGACAGGGATTTCGTCCTAAAACAGGACTTGGCACCTCGTAGGTTCTCCCCATACATCTGGTGAGTGAACGAGTAAGCAAACAAAGGAATAAATGAATCCCCACATTTCAGGGGAATCAGTGTGGGCATTTTGGTTCCTTTCTTCCAGATGTAGATTTAACACATTCACACATATTTTTTAATTTTTACAGAAATGAGACCATCATGTTCTTCCTGTTCTACCTTGTGCTTTCTTCATTTACTATGTCACAAATATATTCCAAGATCCATTCATAAAAAGCTATACCACTTCTATTAGTGGTTATTTAGGATTTCATTGAGTGAATGTCTCGTTACCCTATTGATGACCATTTAGTTTTCCAAAAGTTGTGACATTGCACACATTGCTGAAATATGGTAGCTTTTGTTGGATAGGGTCTTACACATGACAATGCTCAAAGAGTTTGCATGTTTACATTTTAATAGGTATTGTCAAATTACTCTCCAAAAATGGAATAATTTATAGTGCAAACAATACCTGCACCAACATCAGTGCATTACAAATCTGAGTGGCAAAAGGAAGGAAGGGAGGGAGGGAGGGAAGAGACAAAGCGACAAAGAAAGCAGAAAAGAAAGAAAGAGAAAATGGTAGAGTGGAGTGTAGCTGACATCCCACACTGCAGTGCCTGGGTTCAATTCTCAGCTCTGGCTTCTGATTCCATCTTCCTACTTATGCAGACCCTGGGAGTCAGTAATGATGCTCCAAGTCATCAGGTTCCTGTTACCATGTGGGGGACTTTATGCATTCCTTGTTCCTAGCTTCAGCCCCAGTCCAGCCCTGGCCATCGCAGGCATTTAGGTGTGAACAAGCTGATGGAAACGCTCTCTTTTTGTATCTCTGCTTCTAAAATAAATGAATAAATATTTCTATAAAGGTTTATTTTCATTTACTTGAAAGGCAGAGAGAGAGATTGGTTTTCTGGGGCCAGTGCTCTGGCATAGCGGGTAAAGCCACAGGGGCCAGTGTTGGTATCCCATATGGGCACTGGTTCCAGTTGCTCCACTTCTGATCCAGCTCTCTGCTGTTGTGGGGAGCAACTCAGACTAGACTAAGTTACTGGAATTAAGACTTATTCTATGCATCTGCTCTCCCACAATATGGCGCTGGGAGAGGAGTAAACAACTTCTACACAGCTGCCTCTCGCCAATTTGACTGAGCTGCAAGAGCTGATCTTGCTCCTGATTGGAGGAGAGCAGCGTGCTCTCCGTGTGGGTAGCAGAGTTGGGATTGGTGGCAGAGGACTATAAAGGAGGAGAGAGACAACATGCATCAGGAACATCTAAAGGGAACATCCGGATAACATCTGAGCAGCCCCCGAGAGAGCCGGCCAGTGGTGTGCCGCTCCCCCGCGGAAGTGGGGAAAGTGGCAGGGGGAGCCGCCCTTCCACGGAGGTGGAAGGGTCGGTAGCCAACCCGGGAAGAACCAGCAGCAAACCCGGGGAGGGCCGAGCAGACAAAAGAACAGCGCAGGGTCCTGTGTCGTTCCTCCACGAAGAGGGGAGCGACAGCTGTGGCCTGGGAAATCAGTACAAGATGGCCCAAGTCCTTGGGCCCCTGCACCCACATGGGAGACCCGGAGGAAGCTCCTGGCTCCTGGCTTTGGATTGCCACAGCTCCAGCTATTGCAGCCATCTAGGGAGCGAGCCTGCAGATGGAAGACTCTCTCTCTCTCTCTCTTTCTCTCTCTCTCTCTCTCTAATTCTGACTTTCAAATAAATAAATAAGTAAATCCACTTGTTCACTCTCCAAATGACTGCAGTCTCAAATTATTCAAATGACTGCAGATTCAAATTAGTGCTCAGGTATGGGATGCTGGCATTGCAGGCAGCAGCTTAACCCACTGCACCACAATATCAGCCCCCAAAGTCTTAAAAAGCAAGAAGATGGTACTTAACAAGATGGTACTTACTCAGCCTTCTTTCACTGTCAGTGGAGTTGACTTTTTCTGTTTGTTTATTGGCCATTCAAATTTCTTCTATGAATTACCTAGTCATATTCTTTGATGATTTTTCCATCACGTTGTAAGGGCTGTTTATTGATTTGTAGGAGCCCTACGTATCACAGACACGAGCTCTTTGACTCTATTGTATAGCACACATTTCCCAATCTGTGGCTTATCTTCCAAGGTTGCAAATGTCATTTTCTCAGTGGTTGCATACCATAATAGCTAATCTTTATGGAGCATTTCCAATATGCCAGACACTGTCCTAAGTGCTTTACATGGGTTATTTCATTGATTTCTTACATGACGAAGTAGATACCATCATCATTCCCATTTTACAAGTGAGGAAGTTGAGGGACAGAAAGGGTAAGTAACTAGCCTGGGGTCTCCTGGTTACTAACTAGCAGAGCCATAATTGGAACATTGGCAGTATCAGAATATACCTGATTCTACACAAGTTTTGAATCCTTAATTGGTCAAATCTGTGCAGGTTGTTGTTTTTCTTTCTATTGTCTGTATTTTGTTAGGGAGGCCTTGTTTAACAAATGATTGTGAAAAGATTCCTATATTTTTTTCTGTAGTCTTCTTTTTGATGTTAAGATCTTTGATCTCTTTGGAGTTTATTTTTCAGTAAAGATTTGGTTTTCTTTCCTTTCCAAATGGATAGGCAACTGGTCCCAACAGCAGTTACTGAATAATGCATCTATTTTCCTCCAATATGTTTGCTATCTTTATCATATTTACAATTCCCATGTATCAGTGATCTATTTTTACATTTTTAACTTGGGTCTAATCACTTCACTGTTTTGGATTTTTCTACCCATATCATATAATCTGAAAATAACGGTCCCTTTGCTTTCCAATATTTATTGTACTTGTTCCATTTTCTTGTCTTACTGAGTTAGCCAGCCTGATCCCAAAATGTGTGGTAAGAATGGTGACAATGACCCTGAAGCCAGACTACAATGGGAATAATGTTAGCCTATTGCAATTAGGTCTTCTATGATTTTCTGCTAATCTTACTTAAGAAGCATCCCCTGGCTGGCACTGCGGCTCACTAGGCTAATCCTCCACCTTGCGGCACCGGCACACCGGGTTCTAGTCCCGGTCGGGGTGCCAGATTCTGTCCCGGTTGCCCCTCTTCCAGGCCAGCTCTCTGCTATGGCCAGGGAGTGCAGTGGAGGATGGCCCAAGTGCTTGGGCCCTGCACCCCATGGGAGACCAGGAGAAGCACCTGGCTCCTGGCTTTGGATCAGCGCGGTGCGCCTGCCGCAGCGCGCCAACCATGGCAGCCATTGGAGGGTGAACCAACGGCAAAGGAAGACCTTTCTCTCTGTCTCTCTCTCTCACTGTCCACTCTGCCTGTCCAAAAAAAAAAAAAAAAAAAAGAAGCATCCCCTAATTTTATTTATTGGAACAACTACTGAATCTTATCAATGGCTTTCCTCATTTGATAAACTAATATATCAAATAGATACTGATATCATCGTATGGCTTTGCTCCTTTAAGCTCTTAGAGTTCTAAGCTTTTCATTTTAAACTGTTACGGACACTTCTTGGAGTGCTATCACTCCAAAGCTGTCATCAGCCATGCTGACTGCGGGTGCGGGGACAGGGGGTCATGCGGAGTCCCTGCAAGTGGAACAACAAAGGCATGGAGAGATCCCCAGCAGAGGGAAGGTTCCCTCTGGCGGGAACGGACGTCTCGACCGCCCACAGATCGCCGGCTGCGGTGGAAAGCGCTGGCTGCACTCCCCGTCGCGCCCCACTCCTGCGGTCCGCCTAGGGTCTATCCCTTATAACCCGGCCCCCAGGGCGCTCCTCAGGGAAACCCCACCCACGTTCGAAAAGGCTCGCCTTAAATACCGGCCCCTCCCGCTGCGTCTCCCCAGACCTAATCGTCCCCTAGACGGCTTCTCCCTCAAACACACCCTTTTGTGTGGAACCCCACTCCACAGCACTCCCTCAACCCTGCCGGGGGAGCCAATTCTGCTGCGTGTGCCTTTTCTCTGCGTAGCGCCAGGGCCGGGCAGTGGGTCTGGTACACAGCGGGTGCCCATCAGTGCCGAAAGGAGGACGGAGGGATGGGAGGTGTGCCGGCGGCCCCACGCTGGCCGCACGGCCCTCCCCGCCCCGCCACGACTGGGCACATCTTTCCCGCCAGGGCCCTGCAGGGTGGACTCCGCCTCGGCAGAGGGCATCGCAGACCCCTCTGCAGCCCCGGAAGCTGGGCTGCCTGCCATGGGAAGACTACACTTCCCAGCGATCCCAGGGAACAGCGAAAACCCTCTGGCTTTGACAGCCGCCGCCACAAGTCTTTCCGCCTCCCCAGCCTGCCTGGGAGCTGGGAGCTGGATTAAGGTGGCCTGAGCAGCCGACGCAGCCGCAGGAGCCCGGAGCCCCTGCCCCTTGCCACGCCGCCCACCCCGCCTGAAGGAGCAGGAGCGCAGCGGCCACCAAGCTGCCATGCCCACCCCTCCCAGCACCCGGAGAGGCCCGAGCCCGCTGCCGGGGCTGGCCGCCGCCATCCAGATGTAGCCTGGCTCTGGATCCCCTTCTCTGGTGCTCTGCGGATTTCTCCTGCCCGATCTCGGTGCCCGGACCCGAGGACTGGTTGAGGGGCCTACAGGCTCTGGAGTCCTGATGCCTCCAAGCCCCCTCTCCTGAGAAGCCACCAACACCACCCAGGCTTGGGGACAAGCAACAGGGACGGACGTGGGCCCACCATGGCCCCAGCCCTGCCCTGGCTCTTGCTGTGGATGGGCTCGGGCATGCTGCCTGCCCAAGGCACCCAGCACGGCATCCGGCTGCCCCTGCGCAGCGGCCTGGGGGGCGCCCCGCTGGGGCTGCGGCTGCCCCGGGAGACTGAGGAGGACCCAGAGGAACCGGGCCGCAGGGGTAACTTTGTGGAGATGGTGGACAACCTGAGGGGCAAGTCGGGCCAGGGCTACTATGTGGAGATGACTGTGGGCAGCCCCCCGCAGACGGTAAGGAGACCGGGGAGGGGAGGCAGGATGGGAAGACAGCAGCCTGTCCCCCTTTGTAAATGGGATCCTGTCGCCGGAAGTCGCCCCCAAAGCTCCCCTTTCCTGCCCTCCTTCCCCTGTCTGGCTCCCCAGCCGCCCTTCGGTGCTCTCCCCTAACCCCTGGGCAGGGATCTGGGGAGCCTGACCCACGTGGCGGGAGGGTCCAGGTCGCAGGGGTGCTGTGGCAGGTGTCAGCCCCTCCTGGCGCTGTCCCAGCCTGAGTTTCCCTAATTCCACCTCTCGGGATGTTTGCCACCCAGCCCTCTGCCCTCCTCTGGGGTTCAGTGTTCCTTGAGCACCAAGCAGTCTGGGCACCATTTGGATCAGCCCCTTCCTCCCACTGTCTGAGCGGCCACAGGGGCAGCACAGTGAGGTCCCCCAACCATGCAACCCAGTGGCCCCCAGACAGCCTCTTGCCTTGCCTTGGTCCCTCTCCCCACCTCTTACTGCTCCTCCCCTCCCCCTTGTTTTCTGCACTTCAGCCCTTCCCCCACCCAACACCTCCCAGCACCGCTGGAGGGCAAGTGAACTGAGCCGGGGAAAGGACAAAGTGTAGGAAGGGAGCCAGAGCCCCCTTCTAGGAGTGGGACTCCCTCCCGGGGGAGGGGCATGGCAGCAGCAGGGAGCTCACTGCCTGCTCTCCTGTCCTTCCTGGCCGTCTCCAAGGTACCTCCAAGGTGGCTGGTGGAGGGTGGCCGTGGGCATGTGGGCTGGAGCTGCTGTCTGTGTGGGGTGCTTGGCTGCCCTCTGCGTGCATCTGCCTGCTCTATGGGTGAACATGGGCAAAGGCGGCTGTGTGGCTCTGTCCATGCTGCTGTGTGTCACCTTGAATCTGATCCTGCACATCTCTGTGAGTCACCCGGGATCTGTGTCCCTGTCCCAGAAGCCTGTCCACGGGTCGGTCTGGAAAGGTGGGGGTGCATTTGGAGAAGAGAGCCACTCTTCCCCAAACTCAGATGACTGGATTTTGGGGAACCATAACCCTCACCTCCCAATCACCTGACAGAAACCCACCTTCCCAGGGCCGTGTCACTCAGGCTGACCTCCTGGGGTCTCCCCCATTCTCCCGTCCTCTCTCCTGTGCACCACAGCTTCTCCAGGAGTGGCCTCAGGTGCGTGTGTGGAGCTCAGCACCAAGCCTGAATCAGGCCCTGAGCAGCCTGAGCAGAGGGCTGGGCAGGTATGGTCAGGGAGTGGGGACCAGCAGAGGCCTGAGGGCTGCTCTTGCTTGTGCCACTCAGGTGCCTCACAAACTGCACAGACCTGTGGCAGGGCCCCGGGGCAAGGCTGTGCCACCAACTAGGGCTGCAGGGTCTGGTGGACCAGGAACACCCACAGTGTTCCCTTTGTCCAGCTTGTGGCCCTGGGGCAAATTACAAAGGGGGAGGGGGAGGACTACTGCCTTGTCTCCCACAGGAATGAAATGAGATCTTTCAAGGGAACTGTGAGAGTTAAGAGTTGTGAAAGCACCCACTTAACTCATCTCCTACAAATCTGAAGTCACTGTCTCCTTATCTTGCCCGGCCCTTGCTCTCCTGGGCCGTGCAATGAGGCCTATAAACTGGGTGTCCTGGGCCCCCCATGGTTTGCAGGGTAGACTGCACTTCCTGATCCCTGAGGTGACTTGGGAGAGGAATTACTCCCACATGTGTCAGCTCCTTTCTAGAAGGTTCGCACAGCCCAGGGAGTTCCTCTGTGGAGTGCCCAGTGGCCCCGGCCCCAGCCCCTGCCAGTGTCCACTCTGCGGTGACTTGGATTCTGGCCCCAGCAGTCTGTGAGAAGGGCACCCTTTCTCCCTGCCTGGTGGCTGAGTACCCAGTGAGAACATGGTGGCAGAGGGCTCGGAGCAAGTAAAAGTAGAGTTTAGGGAGCGCTTTCTATGCTTGGTAGCTAATCCACAAAGAGACAGAAGACACATTTCCTGTCCATTCAGACCTAGTGCAAGTCATCCACAGGGTGATAGCCAGTGATAGCCCCAGACCTGTGTGGAGGAAGCCTGTTCAAAGTGTAATTTCTCCGCTCCTAACCTAACCTGGAGAGGCCACAGTGAGTGTGAGAATGAGTTGTTTGTGCCGGGGCTTCTGCGAGTCTGTCCGGGAGAAGAAAGCCAGTGCACTCAGCAGTACAGGTCTGTGCTGACACCGGAGAAGTTTGGGTAAAGAAGAGCCAAATTGCCAAGGGCCTTAAATGTTAAGCTTTGTCAAGGTTTGGACTTTGGTCTGTAGCTAAGAGGGGAAACTGAGTCCCTTTGTAGTACAGGGTCGTGACATAAAGACAGTGATCTTCCAGGAAGAGACATCTGAATTTTAGAAAGAATGAGACTGAGAGCTGTTTGCAGCAGGAGGCTCTGGCACAATGGTCCAGTTGTGAGGCCCAATGACAAGAATGGCAGGAGGCTGAGATGAGATGGAAGGAGGCGGCCAGGCAGAGGAGGGCCTGGCACCCTGGTGTGAAGGCTGGAACAGAAGCATCCAAGGCGGCCTTGAGATTCTGATCTGCGGTGGATCGGAGGACAAGACTGTTGCTGGGAAGAGGAAAGTTGGGCTGGCGCTGCGGCTCACTAGGCTAATCCTCCACCTTGCGGCGCCGGCACACCGGGTTCTAGTCCCGGTCGGGGCACTGGATTCTGTCCCAGTTGCCCCTCTTCCAGGCCAGCTCTCTGCTGTGGCCAGGGAATGCAGTGGAGGATGGCCCAAGTCCTTGGGCCCTGCACCCCATGGGAGACCAGGATAAGTACCTGGCTCCTGGCTTCGGATCAGTGCGGTGCGCCGGCCATTGGAGGGTGAACCAACAGCAAAGGAAGACCTTTCTGTCTCTCTCTCACTGTCCACTCTGCCTGTCAAAAAAAAAAAAAAGAGGAAAGTTGGGGGGGGGCTAATGGGACTGCATACAGATATATACTTGTATGTATTATTGCAGCATAAAGTTTCTTCTTATGCATCCTACAGGCATTGTTTTGTTCTTTACAGAATTTCTGCCATATCAGGTCTTTATTACTCACAATTTTGAGCAGAAGAAACAAGGTCAAAAGGTTACACAGTTGGCCAGGAGGCAGGCCAGCAAGCTGAGACCTTGCCTCGCCCTGGGTCTTCCCACTATGCTGTTGTCTTGGGGAAGAAGAAGGAAGACTTTCAGGAGCGTCTCTTCCATTCCCCGTAGTGTTCCCTTGCTGCCCCTTACTATATCTCGTATTGGATCATAACTGTTTTTGTGTTGGCTGCCGACATAACATTCCCAGTGTAAGGATAATGCCTTCTTAATTAATTAATTTAGAAGTGTCTTGTTTCTCTTTGTAATCTACTGTGTGACAATGTGAGGCTGAAGATACGCCCCTGAAGCATGTTGAGTGAGTGAGTGAAAAAGTGGCCAGACATCTAAATAGAACTGGTGATGGCCCAGTGTAAATGCGGACCTGGAGCTCTGGTAGAAAGTCTTCGTTTCTTTCTTTCCACTTAAATGAGAGGATGCCATCTCATTATGATGGTGTGAGCACCACTGAGCAAGCACAGGGGAGTAATTTGTTCAGAGGGAAATGTGGTGAAGTTAAGTCAGTTTAGGAAACACTATGTTGAGCACTTGTGTGCAGGAGAGGACACACAATGGCATGGTCGAAGCCCTTGGAGAGCTTACAGTTTGGTGTGAGACCAGAGCTATAAACTCCTAAATATCATACAAGGCCAAATGCATGTAGTTCAACAGAAGAACAGGGTCTTGGAAGCACACAGAGAAAGGCAGAGGATGACGGAAGGTTTGCTAGACAAGTAGTTAACGTGGCCTTGAAAGACTCGCACTACAAACGGGAGCAGAAGCTGGAAGTCATGGTGAGGCCGCCGTGGGGCCGAGTGGAGTCTGGGTTCTATGCTCGATGGGCAGCGAGATGATGTGGTTCAGCGTGCAGGAGGACTTGGACAGACTAGCACATGAGACGAGGATCTGCCAGGGTACAAGGGCCTGAAGCCGGGTGGTGGCCATGAGGGTGGGAAACGGAAAACATCCTCTGAGCACGGGCATTCACATCTGGTCCAACCATCTGTCCTCTGCGCCCAGCGAGACTCGGGGGCTGAGAGAGGAGGAGGTGGAGAAGTAGCTTCCTTTTCCTTAACCTCTCTGACTTTGGTTTGTGTCAGGAATTAGAACAAAAGGAGCGAGCTTTGAAAGCACAGTGTAGCAGACTGAATGCCACTTTTGTTTTTCGGCTTTAGTGATGCAGGATAGGTATTAGCATAGCCATTTGGGAAGCTAAGAAACGGAGGCTCAGAGATATGAAGTGGTTTTCCCACAGCTACTCAGCGAGGAAGAGCACAGCTGGGGTCCAAATCCAGGTCCTTAGAGTCTCAGTCCAGATCCGGGACATCCCCGCATGCTCCCATCCCATCCCATCCCGGACGTGTTGGCTGACTTGGGGCTGCTGGTGCACCATCCCGCAGGCATATCCAGCAGCCAGCTGACGAGGGGATCTGCGAACCAGCAGAGGAGTTGAGACTGCACAGGTGGACTTAGGAGTCACCTGCAGAGAAGCAACTGCAGAAGCCGAGTTAGCATGCAGACTTTTCAGAGAACGGAGAGAGAAAGAGCAAAGACTTGGGGAAAGGATATTGGGTGTAAACAAAGGAGCCAGAGAAAATGACCAGAGAAGTCATAAGCTCCAAGGGTTCAGGGACTCAGAACCAAAAACAGCCCAGTGTTTCTCTCTGTCTCTCTCTGTCTCTCTCTGTCTCTATCTCTCCCTCTCTTTCCCCCAGAATGGTCTCCAACTGTGCTTTTCGGGGTGCTATAAAGGGACCTCAAGGGAAGGGAGAGGGTTAGGAGGAGGACAGGCGGGCAAGACTCCAGAGCTCCCCTATCACCAAGGCACCCCTCCTCACCTGCCGAAATATCCCAACCCCAGCCCTGCAGAGTAACTCTCTATTTTACTTTTTTTTTTTTTTTAAGAATTTATTTATTTATTTGAGAAGTAGAGT